CGTTTATCTCTGTGCTAACAGCTTCAACAAAGAAGCTGGTTTTGTAAAGTTTTAAATTAATATAGAAATTAGCAGAGCAATGCAGAAATTAGTGGGCGCGGATCTTGACAATTCGCTAGATGCTCGTTAATTGAACATAAAAGTACCGACACTTGACAAGCAAGAGTGAGGGGCGAGGGGATGGCGTAGTCAATGTTATAGAGCCGCAGATTGCAGTTGGAGCAAATACACCCACACATAATTAACATGCATTTAAGTTAGAAAAGTGTGAGATCAGCATTCGCCAAGGTAATGCAGTTTAGTTTAGCTAAGAATTAAAACCCAACAAGCAAGAGTTCTCTAGTCGGGATTGAACGACTAGCGGATGCCCTAAACATTCTTCTCCCAACATCAAATTCAGCTGGCAATATGCGTTCGATTGCTTTAGCATTAGAACAAAATGTTAGTCCTCCGAGTCTAATGGAGTCTAATTTGGCGGGTCCAGCTCTTAAGCCCTCAGATATTAGCTCAAAAAACATAATTTTGATATCGATTTTTATCGATTGTTTGGAAACGGGGCAAGTTATTGATTATCGAAAACAAGCTTGTACTGCGCGTGCACTAGGCGGACCTAAGTTCAAAGTTTCAAGTCTCTAGCTCCTGTAGGTTCTGAGATCGACGTGTTTAAACATACGAACAGATGGATGGACAGAGTATTGATGCCGACCAAGAATATATGTATATATTATATGGGGTCGGAGATCCTTCCTTCTGCCCTTTACATACATTTGTACAAAACCATTATACCCTTTTCACCCTGTTTCATCGATGGGTTCAGTATGTGCAGATTTGATGAAAGAGATTGTAAATCAATAAATAAAATAATAAAATTTGCGGTTACAAATGTCTTCAGCGGCATGCACTCAACATATTTATAAATTCTTTGGGGAAGAAAAATTTAAAGTTTCATAAGAAAGTGCGGCAAGTTTTAAGAGCCTCAACTAAGGAATTCTTATTAAAAATATTATAAAAAGAAAATATTTCTATGCAGGCATTTGTCATAGGCACTGCAAAAGCTTTGCCACAAGAAAAACATTTGTAAGTTGAAATGAAATTTCTAACGCAATCTTCTGATGGCGTATTAAACCGTTTGCTTGTAAACAAATTATTTTTTGTACATCTGTGCCCATGTAAAATAAATAAATGCAATGCAGTTGGTTTTGTTTTTTAATGTGCGGGCAGTATTTAAAATGCCAGAGGCTGTTACTCAGTTTACTGCCGCTACCGAGTCGAGCTGAGCTCAATAATCGACAGTAAATAATCGTTTGCTCAGCAGAAAAGCGCGAGGCAATTTAGAGGTTGGATCTGGGTCTGGGTCTGAGAGCGAGAGTTGCCATTAACTTTGGCTGTGTTGTCAAGCGCATTTGCGTTTATTTAGATTTTGTGTTTTTTTGTTTCCTTTTATTTTGTATTTTATTTTTGTCTCTCAACTCGTTTTTCTGTGTCACTTTATAAGTTTTGCCTCCCTCTCGCTTCGCTCCTCAATTTCTCGCTTAACTTGGAACAGCGTCAGCGTCACGTGTTTGGGTTTTGCCATTGTTTGAGTTTAATTTTGGTTTTTTTTTTTTGTTGTTTTCATGTGTTATGCAGTTTCGAATTCTGTTTATGTCGTCGAGCGACAATTAAACGACAATCAACCCACACCCCTCCCCAGGTTACGCCCAGACATGGCCAACAAATCTATGACGATATAACATGTACTTACTATATGTATGTAGAGAGAGTCTAGAAGCGATTATGTTGCATAACAGCTTGCACTATACGTTCAACTGAGTCGAGCTCTAAAAATCATTTCACCTATAGCCGCAAAAGGGCGAGAATTAAAAGAGAGGCAACGGTACCAAGTGAGATTAGGTTGTGCTAACTCGACAAATTGAGGTTAGAGTGAGGGGCATTTAAATAAAAGAAGCATAAGCACAAATATGGTATTTTGAGTATCTCACAAGTGCCTAGAATTATTATTTGCAGTTTATGCTAGCATTTTCCTACCCTAACAAAAACCTCACATTTACAGTTCTTAGCAAGTTGGCAGCACTTTCCTTATCTAACAAACAGCTCTCATATACAGTTCTTAGCAGGTTGGCAGCACTTCCCATGAGAGGAGAATTAGGTTGATCTTTTACTTAAATCAACTATTAGATAACTAGACAGTTAAGTTTATCAAAAGAAACTGAAAAGCGTAGTTTGACAAAGATGCCAATAGTTAGGCATAGCCTATTCCTGTGGCATAGCTGGCCGGACGGGCAAATGAAACACCTCAATCGGTCGGTGATGCTATTAACTATTTTAACTAGGCTTTTTGCATTTAATTCTCGTCTTGTCGACCAATTATAAATAAATATATTACAGTAAAATATTAGTTCTGGTAGAGTTGAGTTCATCAGAAGAAATATTAAAATATTTGTACATTAATCGTCGCATTCATCGGGCTAGCAGCCCGAAAATATGATATTAAGAGAATAACTTCTACCTAGGCTAATTATATTAATATATCTACAAAAAGCAAAACGTCTAAATTAATCAAATTAAAAGCAGCCCCAAAGGGCTTTCCATTCATATTATGTGTACATGTAAGTATTAATAATGATTATGCATGTATACAAGCGGTTATTTCCTGGCCTCGTTTTTTACTTCAATTTTTTTATATAAGTTCTTTTTTTATATAAATTCTTTAACCATAGAGTATTAATAATAATCCTTATTTTTCAAAAGGACCTTATCTTATCGATTAGCCCTTTCCAATTGTCTAAGAACATTTTGGTAATATTTCTTTAATGGCAATGGAAATTGCAATTGAAATTGCCCTTAAATGCTCTCAGTAAAAAACGAATGTCAAAGAAGGTTTGCAATTGTCATATGAGGCCATATAACCTTAAAATATTTACGGCTGTTTAACTCAGCTGCGATTGCCGGCAATTACGAAAAGAGCCACTCAGTCCGCTTAAAATTCAAGATACCTTGTATATTTGTTGGGTCAAGAGAAAGCGTGTAATAATTATGGAATATTTGCCAGGTGTCACATAGGTCATTCCAATTGCCATAACTTGCCCCATCAAATGTGAAAAGTTTTTTTTTTCTTCTATACCCTGAACCTCTTTTAAAATGGCTAAATGTGGTATAATGTTTTGAGCAAATGTATACCAGGCAGAAGAAAACATCTCCGACACCATAAAGAATATATTCTGGATCACGACGACAAACTGAATCGATCTAGGCATGTCCTTCTGTTCCTCTGTGAGGCATTTGGAAGACAAATATCAATTTAAAATTGTAATTTTAGTAGCTTTTAAGTTTATGTCGATATCTTAACCATTTCCTTAACATCAATAACAGAAAATGGAGACCAGAACAGATATACACCAATTTGGTATGTAGGTTTGCTTTTAATAAAATACACAGATTTGGAATAATTCACTTTAGGATACCCACATCCATTTCGAACACCGCCTTCTGTGTATGTACGTATCGAAGGAAGACAGAATGTGTATAAATTCAGCTCGGCGCTGGATGCAGGGTAACTCCTAGTCGGGCAGTCCCGAATAGAGCACCCTTATTTGTTTTAGTTTGTTTTACCTTGCCCCTGCACAGAGTCTAAAAGTCGTGCGACTTTCGCGCAGTGAGGCATAAAAGTTGCCCAACAAACAACTTATAAACATATAGCCTATATTCGCATTCGATGTATGTAACAATAACAGCGAGCGTTACGCACGAATGGGCCTCGATTATAGTCCCCTAGCTGCCACTTTTGGCCCGTGGCTATCGTTATCGATATCATTATTGTTAGCCGGCGATACCGAAATTGCAAGTTGTATCCATAAAAGTCGACAAGACTTTATGGATACCAGTTTTTATGCGATGCGCAGTTCATTCAACTGGTTTTTTGCGCTAGGCCATTTGCTAATATCTATTGGTCGTCTTTTTTTTTTATCTTTTAATAATTAGAAAGGTTAGATTTTATTAGTTATTGAGACTGTTGAACCAGTTGAGCGAGAGTTGACATATAGCCCACAGAATACGTAGAGTATTACTGATTCCGGGGGTTGGCGCCATGTAATAAGAAATCTATTGTTGCAATTAAAATGTTGTAATTATAAGACTAACAGGTGCCCTGTTCATAAAGTATTCACAGTATAACGATTCATGATGCGATACATATATATATATATATTACTATATGTACATATATGATATGGTACATATATTATGAAATAGGATGGTGTATTATGGCATGGAACTTGATCGTACAGATATTGGGCTTTGGTTAGTTATGGTTTGGTATACAATTTTTGTTTTTATAGAACAGCATGGAATGGCAAGTTCTAAGATAAAATAAATATATGGGAATATACAGTATAGTGCAGAATAGTATAGAATGAGAATAAATATATGTATATATAAGTATCGATATCACAGAATACCTTATTTTATTTATAATTATAACAAAAGCCAATACTCAAATACAATAGCACAGGTTTACCTTATACATTTTTTTAATTCTCAAAAACTCTCAAAACAATTTTTTAGCTTACAACCAAGGAATATTGTGTTCGCTTGAACAGAGGATTCGGGAACGGGAGGGCATAGCAAATGCCGCTTGGATAAAATCTCACGAATCTTAAGAAATGTTTACAAAATGCACTATCATAGCAACATTCAGTGAGAATTATTATTGATTTTCCACTTAATACAATCCGATTATTGTAGACTAAATTAGTCGGCCAGGCAGGGGCAACGGGGAGATGCCGGACGCAGCTTGCAATATTCTCACATATGCCTTATATGATAACTATTTTATTCTCCGATTGTTTTTGCAGCACCAAAGCATATAAATATAATTGAATAGGCGGCTTGGGGGAGGCAGTTTTATAGCGACATTAGCCATATGCGTTGAGAGCGAAATTCGCACGTAAGCCTTTTAGAAACAGACTTCAGACCTCAGAACTCAGCCGAACGTTGGGCGATTCAAATCAGTTTTTTTAGTTTTCAGTAGTGCGGCAACTGTGAACGGGTAGCATCGCAATATTAAACACTTGGCCAGACATTAATAAGCAAAAATCTTGTTTAAACTAGTCAACAAGATGTTGGTCCATCGCATGAAATTGCTAACAGCATCCGCTTGCATTCTTCTGTTTGCCATTATATTCGGCTGGGTACTATTTCCCCAGATCTTAAAATTTATGATATCGAAGGTGTGCGAGTGTATATAAAAATATCTATGTATGTATAGGGCTTCAGAATTATCCATTTACAGCAAGTCACGCTTAAGCCGGGCACTGATATACGTGATCTTTGGTCGGCCACGCCCTTTCCGTTGCATTTCTATATCTACATATTCAATGTGACCAATCCCGACGAGGTAGCCGAGGGCGGCAAGCCGCATGTGCAAGAGATCGGACCATTTGTCTTCGAGTGCGTAATATGTGTAAAAAAATATATCTGTCTGAAGTGTTATCTTAAAAGTCTATTTTGTGATCATAGCGAGTGGAAGGACAAATATGATTTGGTCGATGATGTCGTTGAGGATACGGTATCCTACAATATGCGAAACACTTTCATATTCAACGAGAAGGCCTCAAGCCCGCTGACGGGCGAGGAAATTGTCACCTTGCCACATCCATTGTTACAGGTATGAAGAGTGGAGTGTCAAAAGGAAATACAATAAATTGAGTGTAGAAAAGAAAAAGGTTTATGCTGAAAAATCAGACTTCTGACTTAACTTCCAAGTACATTCAGGAATGTTTGGCATATTTATATTTCTCCTAAATGTTTTGGTACTTCTCTAAATTTTTATGAGCATTGTTTGTATTTGTTTAATAATTCAAATCGAATTGGAAGCGAGCTACCTAAGAGAGTGGGGAAATTAAGACTGGGGAATAAGTAGAAATTAAAGAATTTTCGACACTCACTTTTCTTTTAATAATATTTCGTGTTTTAATTTGCCTGTTTTTTGTATTTTTTTATTGTTATTTAAAAATTGATATGCTTGACTTTTCTACATAACATTTAATAATAGTATTATAAATTTTCTCGATTTATTGAGATCTTAGATGTATCTAATTTTCGTAGAACCCTTAATGAATACTAATTGAGAAAATAAAAAATGAACTTGTGCTTAAAACAGTTTCTATAGCTAAAATACAAATTCAATGACAATAGAGCTACCTGAAAAGCACTTAAAAAGACCCTGTAATCTATTGTTAGACTAGCCTTGTAAATTATGCAAATCACTTAACTTAAATTCCCAACGAGTAGAAATTAACCTATCGCTGTACAAAAATCAAATTAGACAGCAGTTTGCAAAACAACAAAAAAAAAAAAAAATTTACCTAATCACCCGTCCCAGTGCGAGCCTATGTATATGTCTTTATGAATGACTACGTCTCAGCGTATCGGTTTCCCCCAGTCGAGAGTCGGGTTTGCCTTTGCAAAAAGTAAATGAGCTGCAATTAGCTGGGTATTTATCAAGGTGGCCGTAGAACCCCCTGCTCAGGTCCGTGAGCGAGCGAATCTACATTTCTTCAACATTTTACTGCTATCGCATCTATTTTCGACAGTCCATTGGAATAACCGTGCAACGTGAGCGTGCGGCTATGATGGAGATGGTTGCCAAGGCGCTGGCAATTGTCTTTCCGGACGCAAAGCCATTTATCACAGCCAAGTTTATGGATCTATTTTTCCGTGGCATCGATGTCGACTGCTCCTCGGATGAATTCGCTGCCAAGGCGCTGTGCACGGTCTTCTACACGGGCGAGGTGAAGCAGGCCAAACAGGTCAACCAGACACATTTTCTGTTCTCGTTTCTGGGTCAGGTAAGCAGTGCCCGACCAAAATGATTGTATGCGAAGTTAAATGGCCAATCAAATATTCTACTATATAATATTATAATATATTACTTCAAAACCTTTGCGGTCTCTTCAGGCCAATCACTCGGACGCCGGCCGCTTTACAGTCTGTCGCGGCGTCAAGAACAACAAAAAACTGGGCAAGGTCGTTAAATTTGCCGATGAACCAGAGATGGACATGTGGCCGGGAGATGAGTGCAACCGTTTTGTGGGTACCGATTCCACGGTTTTTGCGCCGGGCATGAAACAAGAAGCGGGCTTGTGGGCCTTCACGCCAGACATTTGCCGCTCATTGGGCGCTCTCTACCAGCGCAAGACTACATATCATGGCATGCCTGCACTTAGATATACCCTGGATCTGGGCGATGTGCGTCTGGATGAGAAGCTGCACTGTTTCTGCGATGATCCCGAGAATTTGGAGACTTGTCCGCCCAAGGGCACTATGAATCTAGCGCCTTGTGTGGGCGCTCCTTTGATGGCCTCCATGCCGCATTTTTATAATGCAGATCCCAAGCTGATGCAGGATGTGGATGGTCTGCATCCAAATGAGAAGGAGCACGCCGTTTTTATAGACTTTGAGCTGGTATATTGGACAGTTAAGAAAGGCTAGCAAACAGTTTTAATTCGATCACACTTTCAATAGATGTCAGGCACACCCTTTCAGGCGGCTAAGCGGCTACAATTCAATCTGGATGTGGAGCCTGTGCAGGGCATTGAGCCTTTGCGGCATCTCCGGAAGCTCATAATGCCCATGTTCTGGGTGGAGGAGGGCGTGCAGCTGAACAAAACCTACACCAATATGGTTAAATACACGTTGTTTCTGTGAGTAACTAGCAGTTTCGATTGACAATCAATTTTGACAGTGGTTTTTTTTCTCTGATCCAAACAGTGGTCTTAAGTTTAATTCCGGCCTGCGCTGGACCCTAATCACCCTGTCCCTAGTCGGTTTCATGTCTGCTGGCTATTTGTTCTATCAGAAATCAGACAGTCTGGACATAAGCGTGCCACCCAATATAATCAAGGAGTCAAATAAGGTAGCTAATGCGCCAAAGGCTGATAAACAACAGCAGCCCAAAGCATTAACAACTGATCACCTACCCGGCGTAAATCTGTCCAATCCGAAAGTGGAGCACAGGGACCGATACTAACCGACTTGCGTCATCATTCTAGTTGTTGTTGTTGTTGTATTTTGTAGTTGAAAGCACCTGTAGTCCAATAAGCACGCGCTAATAAATGAGGCAAAGCCCAATCAGCTGTTCAGCCGAGTCGCCAAACTGGTTTAGGCCTAGTTCGCTGCACTTGACAAGCGTCTCCAATGATTGCCAACGATCGCTGATCACTAAAGCCCAGACGAGAGATGAATGACAACAGTTTTGCGCACTCATGACACCAATAATGTGCAACGATCGATCGCTGATCGAATGGCCAGTAACTGTACCAGTAAGATCCATTCGCAAAATTGAAACTCTTTAGAAGAGAAACGATTGGAGTGGGCCATAATAATAATGGCTAGCACAACCATCCATGCGATCTGATTGCTTTGTAGATATATTACGAAGATCACAAGATCTTTAAGAAGCAACTTTCATTATACACGCACCTGATGTGAAATTGATGTTCATCTGACTTTGGGAGAAATAACTATGATCGGTTGGCTGATGCTGAGACGGAAGTGAGTCTATCCCCAGAACAAGCAGATATAAATTGTTGACCAACGATCAATCGATCGACAATCATTCGAAGCAACTAATTTTAGTATCTATTTAAATCCATTGACAGGCTTTCAGAGTGTGCTCAGTTATGATCAGCTATCTGATTAAAAAACTTGCATGATCCTTTAGCTTACACTTAACTGATTTGGGGCGAAGTGCCTTTATAGTTTATAAATTAAGAAAAATGTGTGAAATTAAATAAGCGTTTATTGGCCAGCTCATTTCTACAGTCAAAGCTATGTTAAACTATCGAAGTCATCTTCAAACCACACCAGCTCCTCCGCTTGTGCCAGCTCAACACCGGGACATTGCATAGAGTACGCTCCAGTATTTCCAATTGCTTCATTGTCGAATATGGTTATTTGCTTGGGCAATGTTGTGTCACCCACAAATATATCCAATTGTGCACATATCGAATCTGTGTCATCTATATAGTGACTATTGAGCTGACCAAAGTCTTCTTTAATATATATCTCCCGCTGCTGATTATGCCAAATGTCCAGGACCTTAAGCTCTGGCAGCTGCGTCAACATTTGATCGGGCCAATTTGTGAAATTGGCATAGGAAATGCTCAGGCGTTTCAGTTGCTGTGCGGGCCAGGGATTGGGCATGGCGGGCAGCTGGTCCAGGCCCGTCAAATCCAAATCCAAGAGACTGCTGGCATTACGCAAAAAGTCTAAGCTTTGCAATTGGGAATTGCTGAGCAGCAGCTGCTCCAACAGTTCCGGTTGATCAAGTTGAAGGCTTTGCAATGGACAGTTGTCAGCCTGAAGCTCACGTATGTGGCCTGTTAAATGCAGCCGATACAATTGTGGATTGTCCGAGATTATGAGACGCTGCACATATGGAAAGGCATTGGCTGCAATTTGCTTTAATCTATTGCCACGCGCTGAAAATTGCTGCAGCTGAACCTGATCGGCACATAAACCGCCGGGCAGTTCGGATAGCTGATTGTAGTCCAGATTGAGTTGTTGCAGTTGTGACAGTTGACTTAAAATACCAGCTGGCAGTTTTTGCAAGCGATTGCCTTGCAGCCAGACTTGCCTGAGTTTGTACAGGCCAGCGAAGGCTTTGGCCGGCAAATCTGCTAATTGATTATCAGCCAAATTCAATTCCTCCAGTTCTGTGGCCAGCGCAAAGGTTGCTGCTTCAAGATTGGATATTAAGTTGCTGGACAGCTGCAAAACCTTGAGCTTGGCAGCACCCTCAAAGCACTGGGCTGCCACATGTTGCACTTGACAGCCCTGCACATCCAAATGTTCCAGCTTGTCGAGTGTTTGAAACACATTCAAAGGCAGTTGATTTAAATGGGAATTACGCAACGCCAAGGTCGTATAGTTATCTAGTTTCTTTTTGATGTCTTTTGTAAAATATGCGACTTCCGAGTCGAGTGGATAGTTCAGCTCCTCACACAGATACCCATTACATTTGATGCTAATCACTGCGACTTGCTTGGGGCTCGCAACACAGCTGTTGAACAGCATCCACAACAGACAGAGATAGGACAGTGTTGACATCTCCACGCTAGACTTAAGTTTCCGCAACTGAAATGTGTCAATGCTTAGATCAGCCTTTTTAAAGGCCCCTCAAAAAAACGAGACAATCGGCATTTTATCAAAGCTAAAACGTAGCCTAGCCAAAAACAGGTATGGGAACAGCCAAAAAGTGAGCATTAGCACTTTATTATTTAGATTGTTAAGAATAGAATTAAAATATTAAATTTAAAATAATTGGATCAATAAATTATCGATATTAATGATTCATGCGGAAACAAAAATGATTATTGTAAAAACATATTGATATATATGTAAGCATATATAAAGAATTTACTTATATATTTAATAGAGAGTGATTAAGCAGGACTATCGTTAAGAAGCGTACATACATAAATGAAAGGTTTTTGCCAAAAAACTATCGATACATCACTGGATAATATCGATAATACTGTTATCGATAGCTTTTTATCTAGCTTGCTATCACTACCCAGTTGGACTCATCAATGTTTCTTTAACATTTAATGATAAATTCAATCATGGGTCTAGAGGAAGCTTTCAGTTGAGACATAGATAGTTTCTTGGCAGATAATTTGTAATTTTTGTGATAAGCACCAGACCAGCGGGGGCCATAACTTGTCTTGGTTCAGAGCCAGCTCGTTAAACAATAAATTTAAATACAAATATATAAAGTGTGTCCAAGTTTCGTTCAAGCTTAATTTGGACTTGATTTTATGTTTACCTTTACCGGTCACTTTATGTCACATGTTGGAAAAAAAAAATACCGCCCGCCTGTTTGTGGAATAGCTAATAAAATGTTTATGAATGCGCACAATGAATATTCGCGACGTTCAGTTCTACACAATAATAATTTTGGACCCAGTTCGCCGATAAGCACGTTCTGAGAGCCAAGTTCTCGCAACATGCATACACAATATGACATTGTGTTGTGGTGCTTTAGTTTATGGCATCTGGCATATCAGCTGTTAGATATGAGCCTACCATGAAGCGGAGGGTGGGGTCTTTCGCGCTGTCATACGTCATGCTATGTAGGCCAAGTTCAGCGGTCAACACGGATACTCTTCTGATAAGCTCTAGACATGGGGATTATGTGAAGGAACTGTCCCATTGTAAGTCGACCCGATTGTGGTTGCAATTTAAATGGGCTTGTTTTCAATTGATAGCGCGAGAATATTAAAGATTAAAACAACTATTGCCAGAAACATGTATGTGCGGCGTGTTTCTCTGTAACTGTAGTTTTATCTTTGTTTAAGGAATCAGCGTTTATATGTAGGTTATCGATACTAAATGGTGGTTTATTCGCTAGCTATCAATACTTATTAAATACTGAAATATGTACGTTGTTTATTAATTATTAACATTCAAAAACTGTTTTTTAATGTTTTTACTTTTATCGATACTTTTGTTTGGAGCAATGTTAGGCAACTATCGCAATGTTAATAAATACTTTAAAGTGACTTCAAAAATAAATGAATTTTGGCAATGGCTTTATCTTATTAACAAACAAATATTGATCGTTTATGCCCAATAAGTACTTATAATGCTATTTTATTTTAAAACTTTCCGCAATTAACATCCCTCATGTCTCCGAGCTACGTCAGTTTCGAAATTCGATTTTGTCACATATTTTTGCACATGATCGTCAACTAAGTGACGGGGCCAATAAAATAATGTCTCCATATATGAAGGCGCCATAAAACGTCACAAGCATTTATTGGGCTTGAAGAGAGGACTGACTGACTGATTTGTTTGTTTGTTTGTCAGACGCCTTTAAATGCTATATTATATATATAAATGAATACGCTTTTGCGTGGACAGCAAAACTATTGAAGAAAATTTGATTTAAATTAAACGCAACAAACAAATTTTCGCCAGACAGACTCGCACAACAAAGAAAAGGGGGCCTTATGCTGGATTGTTGTGCTGGTATGCAAAGTAATTGGAGGCAAATTGAATTGAAATTGAATGTCGACGGCGACAAAAAAAAAATAAAAGTAAAAATTTGTATCGCTAAACGAAGTCATGCCATTCCAATTGACAGACATCACACGAGGACAAAATGCTATAACTATCTTTATCTTATCTAGATGTGCATGCATACACATTTATCTACAAGCATAAATATGCGTATCTGTGAGCATAAAGAAGAAGAATTTCAAACAGTAATTGACAATAAATAGATCGATCGATAATTACACTTTGAGTTAAGCAAACACTTGGCTTGTATATACGTAATCCCCTCCTTACTTTTTATTTCAAATGCAAATTGAGTTAATTATATATTTGGCTGCAGCTTATCGTATTGGCCAGGAAACTGTTGTCAAAAGTTAATTCGATTAAAATTTGTTTGCATATGAAATAATTGTGCTTTACTTTGCATTTGTTTAGTTTTTGATTCGTTTTTCGTCGTTGTTTATCTTTTGTTGAGCACTGTAAAAGGCAAATTAAGTGACTGGAAAGCTGGTCGAACTTGTTTCACAAAGCCATTCTAATGCTTATTTATTTGCTTTTGACTTTTAGTTCTCGGCTAGAAATTATAAAATACGACCATTAATAAGCCATGTTATTTCTATTAGTTTGTTTTTATCGCTATTGCATGCCAAATTTCTACCATATGATGGAAAATTTTGTTTATATATACAATATATATGTATATATATATATATATATCTCGCACCTGTAGGCCGCACACAATAATGGCCATAAAAACACCCGCACTGTGATTTTTGGCGGCTGTAAGGGCGAAAGACGCTTTTAATTTGGCGAACTGTCGCTCATATCTTGTTGAACAAATGCCAAACTATATACAAATGTATATATATATATATATATATATATACATATATGTATAAATAATATACATAAACAATATTTACAAACGCAAAACAAGGCGTGAAATTGTTCAACGTAAGTTTGTTTATCAAGTCGTTTGCGAAATGCTCTCTGAAATAAACCCCAAATGTATTTTAAACATGCATTTTATTGTACATTTTATTAGTTTAAAAACGCTCATAAATAATAGT